ATACAAGATTTCCATACTACTAGAAGCAATTCCAGCGAGAGATCAATCAACAGGCCAAGGTGCCAAGTTACGAATTTTAAAAAAGAAGGGTGAATGCAGAAGAGATTAAATATGAACTTGCCCAGTAAATTTTAAAAAAAAAAAACGTCTTTTTTTACAAAAATGACAGTGAACCCTAACACGAAGATGGTTTAAGAACTGTACAAAAAAACCCACATACTCGAGAAGAAAGCATTAAAGAAGAAAATTGCAACAGATATTGAAAACCCTAAACCATATAAAGCACCTCGATGTTACATAAAACCACTGAAGAAAAATCAAAGAGGATGTGCAGTGTAAGAATGCAAAGAGTTGAGACTTGTATGTATACTTACTTGTGTGAAGCCCTAGGTTAATGCGTAGAGAGAGAGAGAGGTGCCGACTGCAAAGCGTTAAAGTGTGAGTGGGAAAGAGAGAAGGGAGGGGGGGGGGGGTAAGGTTTGCTCCCGGCTTTGTAATGGGAGGGAAAAATAGGGCACAGCTTTTACAAACCAGCTTCTCTTACGAGTCTCTTTTTGGTTCTTTCTCCCTTTCTAAGGAAAGTTTATATAGGGTTGCAACTCTAATGGACAGTCCCGCGTAGATAACCCTCTAATTGACCATCTTGATCTTGATATTAATAAGCATGGAAAAAAAATTATTTTCATGCTTGTTAGGTTATTTATTAAGTTATTTATTTATTTTTAAAAATTATTCATTTTTAAAATTATTTATTTTTAAATTTATTTATTAGGTTATTTATTTATTTTCAAAATTTTCTGGTATTTATTGATTTGCTTGTACCGTACCATTTTTAAACTTTAAAATTTTATAACCGATGATAGAAGGTATTTTAAAGCTATCATATGATTTTTGACACCCAAACGACTTCTTTAAATAAATTTTACAAGTGCATCATAAACGTCACCCCTTTCTAATAACATGCGTTTTAAACTTTTCTATAAGGCCTAGGTTTGAAAATAAAATAAAGCCTCACCTCAAATCCTCTTTCGAAAGGTACTATTGTCAACGAAAATCTTGCATGACGGTTCCAAAATCAATTTCCAACACCGACAATAAATTTTGAAATTTAATAAAAAAAAATATACAAATCTTGTGAAACTGTAAACACTTATTTTTAGGGTGAAATGGACTATCTAAATAATTTGTTACAATATACACTATTTTTAGAGTTGAAATTTTTTTTTTATTTTATTACATATATATGTATATATATATATATATTGGTTATAATGCTCAAGTTGGGATGATGAATGTAAAATTTTTCCAAGGCTTGAATGGCAATTCCGACGAGTTATGTGGTGAGGATTTAGTTATTTTGATAGGCCCCTCCCGCTTCTCCCACTCTCTCGCACGCTCTATAACTAGTTTTTTGTGCTTGATTGTGCTCCTGCATGATGATATTGTATATGTATTCCCTCGAGCTAGCTAGGCCCATGAGTACAAAGGAATGATAGTGGGCCGGGCCCTCCCTATTCCCTAAAGGGCCGGTCCAGTTATGGCCTTGCCGCGATCATGCCAAAAAAGCTTTGGCCCATGCCAACCATAGCGCTAACAAGGCCGGTCGGCCAAATAAAATTAGAAAAAACAAAAAAAACAAAAACAAAAACAAAGAAAAATAGGTCAAGACTGGGCAACCTTGGCCAAGCCAGGCTTGGCCATACTCTCGGGCCATGGTTGCTTGGCCTTAGCCCATCCCAGCCTTCATGCCATGTTTTGTGGCCTAAGCCTTACATTTTTAGGGTTGTGTTGATTGAGCTGGGTCAGGGCAAGCCACCCTTTGAGTTCGTTTCTACTATGAAACTGTGGTATTCACTTTGAATCACCATATATCAATTTTATTTTGAAAATAAAAAATATTTAGATTTTGCGCTACTAAACACCCAAATTTGACCGTCTAAAATATTTAGATTGTGCGCTACTAGACATCAATTTTATTGGAATGGGGCTGGGTCGTGGTAATAGCACCCCCCATACCTAGTTACCACGTGGTGGTTTACAATCTCGCTTATACTTTCAAAAAGCTAACTCTAATCTATTTGAAAAATAATGTAGTTTGTACATAACCAAAGCTCAAAACAATCAAAATAAAGCGCACCTTCAAATAGTATCGAGAAATGATTTGAAATCTTTGTGATAGCCTTAAAATATACTTTCACCATCAGTTATAAAAATGTAAAGCTTAAAAAATATTGTAGATCGAGCACATCTATAAAATCTTGAAAATTGATGGTCAAAAAATATGTTACAAGATGCACTTTTTACAAAACTTAAAATCCATTTGTTCTCATGTTCGCGCAACTTGATGTTGACATGATTAATTTAGGATATTTAGGCATCAAAACAACCTCTTATGGTGAAATTTTTGAGGTGGGCTCTAATTTGATTGTTTAGAGCATCGACTCCATATAAGCTTTTTCCTTTGAAACAATGGGTAGGGCTCGTCTTTCCCATTGAATTATCCAAAGAAGACAAATAAAAAGAAAAATTGTGATACCTAAAACAATAAGTTTTGCATAGTAGTTTGATAATAAAATGTAAAAAATACATGTCACAGAGTGAGACCTGGGGAAGGTGTTGGGTCGTAGTGGTAGCACCCCCATACCTAGTTACCATGCGGTGGTTTCCAATCTTACTTACACTTTCAAAAAGCTAACTTCTAATATATTTGAAAAAATTGGCAGGGACTTGTTTTCCTAGCTAAATTACCTAAAAATGAAAAGAAAATAAAAAAATGTGAGGTCTAAAAAATTAGCTTTGCATAGTAGTTTGGTAATAAACAGTACAAAATACATATAATGGAGTGAGACTTGGGAAAGGGGCTGGTCCCTATATCTAGTTACCACGTGATGGTTTCCAATTTCACTGACACTTTTAAGAAGCTAATTCCTAATCTATTTGAAAAAATGGACAGGGGCTTGTCTTCCCTACTGAATTACACAAAACAAAATAAAGCCAAAAATGTAAAAGAAAAAGTGTGAGACCTAAATAAATTAGGTTTCCATGCAAATTTGGTAATAAATTAGGTTACCTAAAAGAAAATAAATTAGAAGCCCTATAAATGGTTTATCTTGTAACAATTTTTTTTTAGATGTCTTTTTCAAGAATTGCATACAATATTGCATAAACCAATATTTACCTGTGTCATATTGAACTCTCTCTATCTCTCTCGTTGTTGGAGATTTTTGGGTTGTTAAGTATAAATTATGGTTTAAGTAAGATGTTATATTAGGATATTCACACTATGGAGTAATTTATCATTGCACTCAGCAAATTTAGACACTTCTATATGCTTGTTTTGTATATGTAGTTGTTTTAGTAGATGTATTTTGGTCATTAGTATGAACATGACATAATCTATATGGGATATGACATCACTCACATGGAGCACTAATCCATTTGGGTGATGTCATACCCTTCCTAATAACAAAAAAATACTTTTATGACAAAAATACTCTATATACAAAACAAAGGTATAGAAATTACCAAAATTTATTGAATATAATGATAAATTACTCCATAATGCACCCATGATTGTTTATGAAACATCTATACATCTTATTTTGAAAGACATGGTATTTGAATTTATACATAATAATTTTAGTACATTTTTCTATACGAATATCTTGGTATCTCATTTTTTAAAAGTAAAATTTTGATTTCTTACATGGTTGCAAAGCTTTTTGAGTTACTTCTTTACATGCTGCTTCTACAAAACACGTGTGGAACACATGAGCATTTTGCTAGTAGATAATAAACAAACGGACACGGTTTCTATATGGCCAGTCTGCATATGATAGAAATGCAGACTTGGTAATAAATATATTTTTTAAATATAATTTGATCATAATTTTTAGAGGATATAATTTTCAATATGGAGATCATGAATGTGAAATAATAATAATATTTTGAAAACTAAAAATAGTAATTATATTAAAAAAGGAAAATAGTTTGATAGGACTACAACTCTTTCAAAATAAGTAAAACCTCACTTCATAACTCATAAAATTTTGTAATTCAAGCATTGAAAAACCTTTACATGGATAATCTCGACATGAACATTATGGTTGTGAAAAAAAATAAAGATTTCAAGCTCTAAAAATAATTTATATTATAAAAAATTATCTAAACCGTCTATTTCACCTTAAAAATAAGTATTCACAAATCAACAAAGGTCTGTACATTATATTACTTTCAAATTTTATTATTATTGTTGGAAATTGATGCTAGAGCCATCGTGAAGATTTTTGTTGTTGGAAGTGTATTTGTAAGGAAGATATGATGTGAAGCTTTATTTTATGGGAAAGATTTCTATGTTTCCCCAATAACATAGAAGTTTTATCTTCCCCCTACCATCCGGCCGTCCATTTTTTATCAAGAGAACCACTTACCGTTTGATATTAGATTCAACGTCTCAAAGTATTTTATTTTTAGTTTTTTTTAATACAAATTTTATGAATATGAAATTTGGTATATGCCATATTTTGATTGGGGCACACCTATAAAAAACATTAACAATAATTTTTCGATAAAAATAATGATCAAAACCTCTTGAAACTTTTAAAAGTATTTTTGTCATTTTATTTTATTGAAAATATTTTTTTTTTATTTTTTGTTATTACGAGTTTAATAGAAGAATGTCAGTCCAAAATTTGATGTCAAAATAGTTTATAAAAAAAAATTAAAAATAAAATAGTGTAACGAGATGATATTGTGATTGGAGCAATCTTATCCCACCATTAAAAAATGAACCTATGGATAAGGGGAGGATAGAACTCGTATTTTGCACTGGAACAAAGAATGGTTTTCCTTATTTTATTTTCACAATGCTTAGGTTTTATAGAAACTCCATTTATTAAAAAAACACTTGGACCGTTAGTTACAGCTTTCATAATCCATCTTTAAGATGGATGCTTTATACCTCTAGACCGCGTATTGCAAAAATGCAGTCCAGCCCGCATGAAACAATTTGCTAAACATAAACTCATAAAAGATAGCATTTCTCTAGGGTTTTGAAGAAGATCGAGACGGCGATGAGTTCGAATGAGGTTTGGGAGATATCTTCTGACGAGGATGAGCCAGGCATTCACTGGCTCTCTACACTTCTTGACTGTGGTGATGAGACTGAGGTGGTTGTCTTGGAAGGAGGCGCTGACGATAATGGGAATTTGAGACCAAAGGATTTGAAGAATTCAGAATTTAAAGAAGATTTGGACGATGATTGCTGTGTTTTGGAGGATAATCCAAATAAACTAGGGGATGATGCTGAAGGAGGGCTTGATAGCTCAGATGATCTGGTTATTACGGGTGAAAAAGGAGAGGTTGGTGTCAATGACTTTCAGTTGGATTTAGGGTTAAAATGAATTTCACTTCGATTTGGGGTTCATTCTGGTTTGCATTTGTATCAGTTTCCGAGCTCAAAGAGAGAGAGAGACCGATGATGATGATTTTCTTTTTGAACAGAGAAAATGATTATGGATTTTGCAACTCGTCTTGTAGAATAACAGAGAAAACGAAAGAGCCTTAGAATGTGTTGTTTGCCTAGTATCTTTGTGGTTTGCTTCTGAAGTATATATATATATATATATATATTATATTGTTTTGCTTCAGAATTTGTTACTTTAATTTATAACCAATTATCATTTATGCGCGGTGCTACATTTTGATATTATTGTTTCTTAGTATGATGCTTTGTGTTCTAGGGATTCCCAAGATTGATTTGTAGTTCTGCTCTCTATGGAGATTGTTACAAGAAAATTAGTATGTCATTTTTATCACTGTCATATAGCTGTTCTCCCATTTTTTATCACTGTCATATAGCTGTTCTCCCATTTTTTATCACTGTCATATAGCTGTTCTCCCATATTGTTGCATAACTACCACTTTTATTTACCTGGAATGTTTCTACTTTTTTTTTAGTTATAAACATTGAAATACTTTTTATCCTTAAATGAAAATCGTTGATTTGTGGGATATTGTCTAACCCAATACCTAATTTGTAAGGCAGTTAATTTTTAACCATGATGATATTATTGAAAATCATTTTGATATTATTGTTTTTATGTATGTGTATCACATTTGTTTCTATGTTTTGTAACCAAATATAATTTTTTATTGGTTTATTATTTCTTTTCCTTTTGTGGATGAGTAGAGCTGCTTTTCTTCAGCCTATTCCAAACTCCATATCCTGTGGTTGACTGAATTTTAGATGCTTGATTTAAAAATTTAGGATGATGTTGGTTCAAAACTTTAGATAGTACTATCCAATTTTGCCCTAAGATGCATGAATATGACCATGTACAGGACTATTACATCAGGTTCTGTGGCATGCATATGACCCATTTTGTAGTTCAATGCATCAGAGGATTTAACCATTTTTCTTTGCCAGTGAAAAGTTTAATATTAGGATTCTTGTTCCTTTAGCCTTTGGATGCGTGTGGATTTATGCATGGCGTGTGGGTACAATATTGCGGTGATGTTTTGCATTCAACAAGGAGCTTTACTCCTTGGAGTTCTTTGGCCTACCCTTTGGGATGCCCCCCTTCTATTTGTGGATGACAAACTAGTTTTATGTGCATCCCGGTGTAAGCTTAGAATGACCAGTTATTGTTCCTGTCTTTGTGTGATGGTTTATGGAAGTAGGGTATGGCTTAATTAAGGGGGTTATGACATGCTGTTGCAGTTTAACCTCTCTACTAGGGAACTATTCACATTACAAGTTTATGTTAAGGAGCCAATGGGTTATGTGGAATCTCTTAGTGGAAAACTGCTGCAAATAAAAATCGGTTTTTTTTTTTAATTTTATATATTTTTTAAGAAAAGTTATTATTTGAGATTTTAGTTTTCTTTAGGGTTATTATTTTCTTCTATAGTTGTAGAAATTTAAAGTTAGAATAATAAATTCTCTATAAGAGTTGGTTAGGATAGATTTGAGGATATAGTTTCTATTTTTGTGGGGGTTGAGGTTGTTATCTCTTAATGGGTTGATAAGCATCATGAAAGGAAAAAAAAGAAAGATAAGGGAGAGTTGGAAAAGGGGTACCAAACTTTCTTTTTACAAGATATGAAGTTAGAGAGAGATAAGGGTTAGCTATTTTTGTTTGTGGGCTTTATTAATTTTTTTAAATTTTTTTTAACTAAGTGTATTTAAAGGGAAGATGCCCCTTTTTTGTAGCAAAAGGGTGGCTTGAAAATGTGGTATGTAGAGAATAGAGAGAGTTATTTTTGTTTGTGGGTTTTATTTATTTACTTATTTTTTCAACTAAGTGTATTTAAAGGGAAGATGTCCCTTCTTTGTAGCGAAGGGAAAAAGATTGGTGATTGAGTAAAGAGTTTGATCTTGTGAAATGATTTTGGGGTGGACTCTCTTGCAGACCCAGAGAGAGGGTATAATCTCTCAATTTTTTTTATTTTTATTTTCCTGTTATAGTTTCTCCCTATATCAGTGGGTATCAGAGTCCTGAGATCCATGCTGATCACAAATAACTGATGAAATCAAATATTTGAGTGATTGGATCAAAAATTTGAGAGACTCACAGAACACAGTAGAGCGTATTAGTAAAGTAACAGAACAAGGTTTATGCAATCTATTTCATATATTGCAATCAGAAGAAGAAGAACATGAAGAGCTAGAAGAGAATCAACCACCAATCCAAGCATTAATTACACATCACAACTTGCTTTGCAAGGTGAGTTGATTGAGACTAATGAAATACAAGTGGTGGAAGGTGCAAGAGATTTTGGCATCACATTTGATTTTTTAAGCATATCATGACTTTGTTTGATTAGGATCAACAATAAATAGTTATACAAGACAAGGGTGGAAATTTCCAATTGGAACAAAGTGGAGAAGATAATGAAGGAAAATTTTTGAATTCCATAAGCTCGAGGTCGAGCTTCTATCAACCCAGGGAGAATGATGCAAAAAAAAATTGGGTTTTATTTATTTATTTTATATGTATATTTTTCAGAAAAGGTGTTATTTGAGATTTTAGTTTTGTTTAGAGTTATTATTGTTTATTTAGTTGTTGAGATTTAAAGGGTAGAATAATAAATTCTCTATCGGAGTTGGTTAGGATAGGTTTTTATGAGGATATAGTTTATATGTTTGTAGGGGGTGGGTTGAAAATGTGGTACGTAGAGAATAGAGAGAGAGATACAGTTATTTTTGTTTGTGGGTTTTATTTATTTATTTAACTAATTATATTTAATGGGAAGATGTCCCTTCTTTGTAACAAAGAGAAGATTGGTGATTGAGTCAAGAGTTTGATCTTGTGAAAAGATCTTGGGGTAGACTGCCTTGTAGACCGAGAGAGGGTATAATCTCTCAAATTTTTTATTTTTTATTTTTTTTTTTCTATCATTATTTTTCCCTAAAACTTTGAATGGAATTTGGAGCTCTGGAAAGGGCATTTTCCTTGTTTGGGAAGCTGGGTCACACTATTGAAGCTAGCTTGACTAGCATTTGAGTGCCTTTCATGTATCTTTGGATTCTCTCAAATCTTGGTGGGAAAGGTGGATAGAGACCTTTTATAGGTAACAATGGGGAAGGGTTTGGGTTTGAATGGGAGTAACCTTTGTGCTGAAGGCAGCTTTAGACTTTGGCAACTGCAAAGAATGTAAGTGAGATGAAAGAACTCTTCTAAGCAGTACCAGATGTGTGGAGAGAAAGGCTGAAGGTCTTTGGAAGCAAAGTGGATAAGGTTGGGGTCCGTATTAAGTATGTTCTTTGTGCATGCAGTGTTAATAGGGTCATTGTAGAGGTGGTTTTGGACTTTCGGCAGGGATTTGGATATAGGTTTGGGAAGGGATATGGAACTGGTTTTTGGGGAAATTTATTTTGTGATAGGTTTTTTTTGTTGGACATGGCAGTGTATCTGCTGACAGAGGGGTGTAGATTGTGTTTTTGAGAGGAGAGATCACTGGGGGAGAAAGAATTTGAAGTGAGACGAGCTAGATGGTTTGGTGAGTTTGCTTCAGTTGTGGAGCTTGAGGCTTTTCCCTTGATTTTTCTGATTTTGAGCGGCCTCTAGAACTGTTGCTTGGTGGTTATTTATGATTGATATGATGATCCTAGAGAAAAGGCTTTGATGATGATGAATTAAATTGTGGTTAAAGCCGACCTCAATTAGTTGGGAAAAGGCTTTGATGATGATGAATTAAATTGTGGTTAACTAAGTAATTACATAATCGTAAACATCTTATCATGTATCTTCTATGAAATCATGTAACTGGTAAATGTTTTTTGAATTGGTACCTATGAACATAATTGCTCTTAGTGAACTGATTATTTTGTATTTGTTATTTGGTAGTAGGTGTATTTGATACATGTATTATGCTTTACTGTTCAGGTTGCTTGTAGAGACTTTCCCCACCCGAGGCATCTCTGTGTGAAGTTTCCTTTCTCCTCTACATCACATGAGAAATTTTGTAACATGGTAAGAAGGCCTTTTTCTGAAAGTTATCTGATTAGGTGATTTTTTTTCTTTTTTTGTGCAAAAATAGAAAAGATTGTTTCTTTTTTTTTCTGATTTGATATTTCCTTTGTTGGATCATTGTAGGCTTCCACTTTGTGGCTCCTGCAGTGACTTCTCACATAGCATTTCTTGTGAAGTTATAAAATATGCTGTAATCCTTTGGAACATGGAGAACCATAGGCCATTGGGGTCATCACTGTCCATTGAAATGGACAATTATATAGGGTTTGGGGTCACATCCTGTTCGGATGGGGTCTCAACTCTTCCAATCACCAATCATCATTTCACTGGACAGTGTTGAATGAAAGGGACTACGGAAACTAATTGTCTATTATCACCACAAAAAAAAAAACATAAACAAAGAGCCATTCTAAAAAAAAAAAACTGTCCATTAGATTACACCGTCCCTATATTTCTTTTGTGCAACTCATGATAGCTCCGTATGAATGTAATGTCTAGATCAATCGGCTGAGACCACACAAATCAGTTTTGCCCTGAGCTGCAAGAACAACATTGATGCGTCACCCTCCTCTTTTGAAAAAGCTGCGAATGCGGCACATTATACCCTTTCTTTCTTGTCTCTCTCCTCTGCCTATTGATCACTCATCCAGCTAGAAACTAAGTAGGGTGTTCTTCATCAAAGGCTCTTCATATCATGAACTTGTCCAAGTCAAACTCTTCTTATTGTGGGAGAAGGTTCTGGGAAACCACAAGGTTCCCTTTCTTTAAGAGGGGGGGCTGGCTAATGGATGGGAACTATTAATCCTTACTCTAGCAAGATCCCCCGTAATAATCGATGGATGTGGAGAGCGAAGAAATGCAGGAGTATGACCTGCTATCCCTTCTACCTCGTCCCTGATGTCAAGTAGTCCGGTCGGTTAGACTGACTGGTGTTGTATAGCACGCGCCTACTCGCTTAGCCTCGGCCCTGGCCCAGGTGGGAGGGACCCAGCTTGAGAGACAGAGAAAGAGAACGACTATCGAGCTTCTGTCGAGTCGAGTGAGATGGATTATATTACACTGTCCCTATGTTTTTTTTTAGTTGCACACTAGGTCCCTATATTAATTTATATCTTTGAAAAAAACAACACATTCATTTACCTGATTTTTACTACTGCAGTGCCACTGTTATGTTTGTGACACGCATGCCCCGTGCTTCCAATGGTGCACATGGAACTCAGCTTGTGACCATTGTCATGCAACTGAACATGATGAGAAATGGAAGATGGAGAGAAAAAATTTCAAGAAGAACGAAGCTTCACCTGCAACAATGCCAAAGACTTTGGATACTTCTCTATCAATGGCTCCAACCCATTGCGGTTCGGGCCCTGCTCCCACCTCATCTCATTCTACACACTTCATGTCAAACATGCCCCAACCTTCACAGATTCGTCTACCCAATAGTAGTAGCCCATATACTCCTTGCTCAACCAATAGGTCCACCACACCTTATGTACTACCCAAGTTCTCTACCAAGCGACGAACGGACAGGGCTGCATTTGTATATGTTGGGAGCAAGACTTCGGAGGAGTTGCTAAACAAGACTCACACACACAGGGAGAGGACAATATCTACGCTTTCAAATCATCACAAGAGATTAAAATCTACCTTTCCTTCAAATGCTTCTTTAATGAATCGAGCCTCTAATTCTTCTTACAATAACAACAATCAGAGGCATGCTCAAAGGCTTATAAGCAATCATATTCTTAGTCGAACCAAAGCGCCCCATGTGAACTCCACTCCTGGTTTTTGTCAATCCAGGAATCTCTCTCCACAAATGTTGCACCCAAAAGAAGTTGGCGTGAATAACACGCAAAATTTCATCGCGGGTTCCATGCCTATGAAGAGTTGTTCATATCCTAATGGCCCCAACTCTTGTGACTTGTCGAGCATAGTGGATTTCTCATTTCTAGATTCGATTCAACCTCCTACAAGTCCTTCGTCCTGCTCTCCTCAACTCCGATCTTATGTGCGTCAACCTCCTTTACCTCAAGCTCATGGCCAACTTCAGGGCGGCCCATATCCATCAGGGGTTCCATTGTCCTCAAATGGCTTCAATCAGGCACCATCAAATTTTGGCTATGGAGATCAAATGAATATGCTGTGTCAAACAGATGTTGTTAACCAGGAATCCTTGCCCTTGCAAAATAATACCCAGCAGCAGCACGATCCTAATTTTCAGGATATTGGAACTACTTTGAGCCCTTCAGGTTTTCCTCTTGAAGAATGGGAATTTCCCAACTCTCCATTGATTGAGAACTCGTACCCCGAAATGGCTTATGAATTGCCTCAATCTCCCACTGGGACCTCCATGCTCATATTTGACTTTGAGACTAATACGAATGAGTTCACGAATATAGGGTTATTATAGGAATTACTGTTCAAGAATCAGACCAAAATCCAGCAACTGATTTGTTTTGTCGACCTGTTGCTTGAAATAATGCTGCTGGTTATTTGGAGCAGCTGAAAGGTTTCTTGGTTCTTCTAGTGGAGAAAGCAACGAATGTACAGTTTTTGGTTTCAGCTTTTCCCCCGAGTCCCAATTATCTGTTGACCCTGAATCTATCTTTGTATTTATCTATTTCTCAAATGTATGTATGCTTCATGATCTTATATCAATTGTATGGTGAATGCAAATTTGCCCTTATTACTGAATGGTTTGTGACGTAAAGAAGAATAAGGTTAACAAAACTAATAGGAACCAAGCCTGAGTATGACAGTAAAGGTATTGACACAAGTCAAGGAAAAGAAGTTTGGATAGGTTCTAGTTGTTTCTTCATATATCAAGCGTGGAATTTCTCAGACCTAAACGTAATAATCTTAAGCATGGAATTTCTCAGACCTAAACGTAATAATCTTAGGGAAAGTTTATATAAGGTTGACACCTTGAATAGTCTATTCAAGTACACATCAAAAGGTCCATCGGGAGAGGTGATTTTGATGTTGGAAAACCATCTAATTGATCATCTTGACATCGAGATGTATAGATATGACAAGAAAAAAAAAGATTTCGAGTCTTAAATATAGTACATCTTGCACATATAATCAGAATTGTCTATTTTCAAGTTTTTTGTACGTCTATAGATCAGTTTGATTTGAACCATTTTTCGAGCTTAAAATTGTATAATCAGAGATGCAACACCAAAATTGCATCTTATGCAAAGTTTGGAGATGCACCTTACTTTGATTGTGTAAGGTTGTAGACTTATTCAAACCTCACTCACTCTTCTTTAAGGTTGAGAAATGTCATTATATTATATAATATAATGAAGTCACACGTCTAGAAATGTTTGTCCATTAAACATTTTAAACGTTTTGCGCGCACACGTATGCTATGAACTTTATAACAGCTTATTGTAATGTCCTTGCATGTCCCTGGAGAATCCGCTTGAGCCCTTAATTTATGTCAACAAAGGGACAAAAATATGAAGAGATTTCATTTTGCTCTTATGAGAACCTTTCTCCAATTCTAATATTTACCATGTATAATCCAAGAAAACATCAGACAATGAATTTTGTCATTAAAAAATTTATCTTCTGGGTAATAGCTTATGAACAATGGGAACAAATAAACCCGTGAAAAAATATATGGTAACATTTATATTGATCCAAAACGAATTCAGAAAAAAATGGTAATTGATGTAAAAAATTGTAAAATTGATAATATCAAGTTTGATTGTAAAGTCTTACATTGTTACTTTATTCTTAAGGGTCTCGTAGGAATATGTTGTTTAGGGTGTGGTTTGTATAAGGTTGTAATTGTAACAATCAAATTAAGGCGCGCTTTCAGATTTTATCACAAATATAATTTTGGTGTAAAAAATTCTTAGGATGGCTTGAGAACCTACTTTCATTTTTAATTGTAAAGTCTTAAACTTCAAAAATGGTTCAAATCAAGGAGATATATAAACACTTGAAAGTGGATAGTCCACGCAACATGTTGCAAGATACATTATTTTTAAGACTCGAAATCTTTTTTTGTTTTCACATTAGTACCTCGATATCGAGATGATCAATTAGAGGGTTTTTCAACATAAAAAAGATTAACTTTTTATGATGAATTTTTGAGGTGCACATTAATTCAACACTTTAAGGTTGCAATTAAATATAAACTTTTTCCTTGTGTTTAAATTTCGTTTTTTAGGCCGTTATAGTTTACATTTATGTATCTATTTAATGTTATTTAATTTTTTAGGCCGTTATAGTTTACATTCAGGAGGAAGTTGCAAGCTTAGTCAGGAACTCAGCTTCCGAGTTGAAGCCGCATCGAACATGAACAAAAGATAATTCACAACCACTCAACAAGATGAGAATCCCGTCCATTATGGCACTAGGCTTCCATGGCGTAAGATCCGTTTGCAAGCACCACTTGATCACATTTGCAGAGTCTCCTTCAATAATGATAATGTGATGCAAAAAAACTAACCTTGAAAGTCCCATCTTCAACGCCCAAAGCTCTACATCGTTGATTTCACAGTCATGTATCCTTCTAAAATAAGACCTAATTGTCTCACCACTGTGATCTTGGAGCAGATCCCCATATCTAGAAATTTGTCATCAAACACTTCCATCAAAGTTTAGTTTAACCCATTCCTTTAACGGCTTTGCCCAAACAAAGGTGCACCAATTAATTCTTAACCTGAAAGATAGGATTTCTCAGAAATGGGAAAAAAGTTCTTTCGGCACCGAAGAGAGGGGAGAGAGCAGAAAAACCCAAGTAATGATCAAGCATTGAATGGCTACAAACATGGTGGAAAAGTCCCCCTCAAAAGTTTGAAGATTACGCTCTTTCCAAAGATTGCAGAGGGATGCGGCGACAACAATCCTCGACAGATTAATACCCAAAAAAGGAGAAAGAAGAGGACCAAAACTGCTGCAACAATTGAGAATCATCCCGTGTCCTACCTATCCATTCCCACAAAACAGGGGAATGAATAAAAAGATGGTCGATAGTTTCTTCATTTCATCTTTTGTGAGGACCATCACAGTGAGTAACCTTTTTATAGACATGGAGGTATAGGAAGGTCTTGACACGAAAGGAAAGGGAGCCTTACGATTCCAAAACTTAGGAAGGTGAGGTCGATCTTCAATATATTTGTCTCTGCTAACTGTCTCATACAAAATACGAATTAAAAAAACAGCATTCGGCTCGGTTCGGCTCGGCTCGGCTCCAATAGGTTGAGACTCCGCGTCGGGTCGGGACCATATGATTTTGGATTCAAGTACTAACTCGTGAGTAACAAGTTGTTGGGGGCTCCTTTTGAGTTAGTTATATAGTTTCCTTTATATTTTATTAAGAAAAATATTTTTTTCATTTTGTAAGCGTGGGAAGTTTTGCTGTTTAGGAAGAGGTACGTGTAGGTTATTTAGGTACTTACCATTTTACAAGCATATCTTTAGATAGTGAGAGTTTATCGTAATGGACCCGGCATGCGACGACCCCACCCGGCCAGGGTAAGGTGTATGGGTTTAGAAATTGGACCCGGTGGGTTGGGTCTAGATCCAAATATTGGACCCCATGATTTGGGTTGGGGTCTATGTGGACTCAATCCGAATAGTGTTATTATTTAAATAATATTTAATATATTTTTAATAATATTTAAATAAGGGAAAAGTTTATATAAGGTTGCAACCGGCAAATGTAGAATCACATATGCACCTCAAAAATCTATCGGAAATATTGTTTTAATGTTGAAAAATCCCTCTAATCAATCGTCTCAGTATCGAGATCTATGAATATGAAAAAAAAAAAGAGTTTTTTAATCCCAAAAATAGTGCATCTTGCAACACATTATCTAGACCGTCCATTTTCAAGATGTTCATATATTTATAGATCTAATTGATTTTAACCATTTTTGGAATTTAAAATTTTCTAATTAGGTATGAAAATAGATTTTAAGATAATACTAAGAATGTTTTACAACAAAATTACATGTTATGATAAAATTTTAAGGTGTGCTTTAATTGGATTGTTTAAGGTTGCAACCTTATAGAAACCACACCCTTTAAATAAACACAATTATATATTTTTAAGTATAATATTTAAATAAGGGCAATGCTGGCGTAGCCACATTAGCTCACAACCACATATGAGCTCAACGGCCCAAATTCAATTTAGGCCGATCTGATGGTCCCGACCTCATTTGTATTTGTATTCTAATTTTTTTTCTGCAATCTAAATTACATAAAATTTTAGATGTTTATTATTCTCATCAGGGAGCACCTAATAAAAAAAAAAAAAATCATAAAATATAAATCAATTGGAGGTATTTTGGTCAATTTATTTTTTACAAATGATTTTTTGATATTTTTATTAGATTATCCTATTTTAAAAGAACGTACACCCAAAATTTCAAGTGATTTGGATTTATAAAAAACATAAAAATAAAAATATGAAATGCAATCGTAATCATGGGATCGGTCCAGATTCAATTTGAGCCGTTAGACTCATATGTAGCTATGAGCTAGTGGGTCTACGCCAACATTTCCCTTTATATATATATATATATATATATAACATCCGTAGGTGTAGAGGTAAGGTGCCCTTCAAATTTTATCATGGTATATAATTTTGATGTAAAATGTTCTCAGGATTATCTCAAAATCTATTTTTATATCTAATTATAAAATTTTAAATTTAAAAAATGGTTAAAATCAAGTAGATCTATAAACCTATGAAAATCTTGAAAATGGACGGTGTAGATATATGTTGTAAAATGCACCATTTCCAAGACTTATAATATTTTTATTTTTCATAGTCATACATGTCGATGATCAATCAAATGGTTTTTCAATATTAAAACTACCTTTTCCCATGGATTTTTGAGGGGCATCCGTAGTTCTACATTAAAAGGTTATATCCTTATATAAACTTTTTCATATACATATATAAATATAAGTTTAGGGTCTGGTCCAATCGGGTCTAGGTCCGATAACTTCCGGTCTGGTTGAGTCCGGGTCCTATAAGTTTTTTCGAGGTTCAGGTCCGGCTTTGGATCTGGCCCGGACCCGACCCGTCCCGTTGCCACCCAAGATCATGTTTGTCGGCTGTATGTGTTTCTTGGGGGGGGGGGGGGGGGGTTCTTAGCACAATAAAATTGAGATAAAATTGATATAGAAGTGCTTTTGTAGTATTAAAAATTGATGGAGAACTTCTTATACGATTGAATATCCACGGAAGATTAGGGTGAAAAGGTTGGGTGAGAGTTAGAGGTGGCAATGGACCCGGGACCCGACGGCTATTCTTGACACCGGTCCCAGTATGGTTCCAATATTTGGATCCATGGGTCGGGTCTGGGTCCAAAATTTGGACCTATAAATTGTTAGAGATAAAATACTTCAAGTCCTATTTATTTGGGTGTATTAGGGATCATATACAATAAGAATTTGTAGTTATTTTTAGTTATTAAACGACAAATCAGAGGGTTTGAAATCTAATGGGAGATGATTATGACCTTGTTATCAATAATATAGTTATATGATAATAATAATAATAATAATAAAAGAAGCTTATAGTGATGGTGGTCATGGATCCAATCAGACCCAGGACCCGACGGGATAGACTCAAGACCCAATGGGTTAGATTTGGGTTTAAAACCTGAAACCGAATACATTCGAGTTTGGGTTCGGGTCTAGCTAGACATGATTCAT